CACTGCGGTTTGGTTCAAGGACTGACCACTAATCGATGGATGTTCAAATCCCATTATGTACAACGACAGCAACCCAGTGCTGGAACATGGCCATACAGCCTGGAAAACTCACAGCAACCCAGTTCTGGAACATGGTCATACAGACTGGAATAGTCACAGCAACCCAGTTCTGGAACATGACTGGAATAGTCACAGCAACCCAGTGCTGGAACATGACTGGAATAGTCACAGCAACCCAGTGCTGGAACATGACCATACTGCTCGGAAAACTCACAGGAACCAAGTGCTGGAACATGACCATACAGCCTGGAAAACTCACAGCAACCCAGTTCTGGAACATGGCCATACAGACTGGAAAACTCACAGCAACCCAGTGCTGAAACATGGCTATACAACCTGAAAAACTCACAGCAACCCAGTGCTGGAACATGGCCATACAGCCTGGAAAATTCACAGCAAACCAGTGCTGGAACATGGCCACACAGCCTGGAAAACTCATAGCAACCCAGTGCTGGAACATGGTCGTACAGCTCGGAAAACTCACAGGAACCCAGTTCTGGAACATGGTCATACAGACTGGAATTGTTGCAGCAACCCAGTGCTGGAACATGACAAGACACCCCGGAAAACTCATAGCAACCTGGTGCTGGAACATGGCCATGCAGCCCGGAAAACTCACAGAAACCCAGTGCTGAAACATGGCTATACAGCCCGGAAAACTCACAGTAACCCAGTACTGGAACATGGCCATACAGCCTGGAAAACTCACAGGAACCGAGAGCTGGAACATGACCATACAGCTTGGAAATCTCACAGCAACTCAGTGCTGTAACATGGACATGCCTAAACCAGTACTGGAACATGGCCATACAGCTTGGAAAAATCACAGCAACTCAGTTCTGTAAAATGGCCATACAGCCTGGAAACCTCACAGCAAACCAGTGTTGGAACATGACCATACAGCCCGGAAAAGTCACAGGAACCCAGTTCTGGAACATGGCCACACAGCCTGGAAAACTCACAGCAAGCCAGTGTTGGAACATGACCATACAGCTCGGAAATCTCACAGCAACTCAGTGCTGTAACATGGACATGCCTAAACCAGTACTGGAACATGGTCATACAGCCTGGAAAACTCACAAGAACCGAGTGCTGGAACATGACCATACAGCTCGGAAAACTCACAGCAACTCAGTGCTGGAACATGGACATACAGCCCAGAAAACTCATAAGAACCCAGTTCTGGAACATGGCTATATAGCCCGAAAACTCACAGCAATCCAGTGCTGGAACATGGCCATACAGCCTGGAAAAATCACAGCAACTCAGTTCTGGAAAATGGCCATACAGTCTGGAAACCTCACAGCAAACCAGTGTTGGAACACGACCATACAGCCCGGAAAAGTCACAGGAACCCAGTTCTGGAACATGGTCATACAGACTGGAATAGTCGCAGCAACCCAGTGCTGGAACATGACAATACACCCCAGAAAACACACAGCAACCTAGTGCTGGAACATGGCAATGCATTCCGGAAAACTCACAGCAACCTAGTGCTGGAACATGGCCATGAAGCCCAAAAAACTCACAGAAACCCAGTGCTGAAACATGGCTATACAGCCCGGAAAACTCACAGCAACCCAGTTCTGAAACATGGCCATACAGCCCAGAAAATTTACAGCAACCATGTTCTGAAACATGGCCATACAGCCCAGAAAAGTCACAGCAACCCAGTGCTGGAACAGGGCCATACAGCCAGGAAAACCCACAGTGACCCAGTACTGGAACATGGTCATACAGCCCAGAAAACTCACAGTAACCCAGTACTGGAACATGACCATACAGCTCGGAAAACCCACAGCAACTCAGTCCTGGAACATGGACATATAGCCCAGAAAACTCACAGGAGCCCAGTTCTGTAACATGGCTATACAGCCCGGAAAACTCACAGCAATCCAGTGCTGGAACATGAGCATACAGTTTGGAAATCTCACAGCAACCCATAGCTGGAACATAACCATACAGCCTGGAAAACTCACAGCAACCCAGTGCGGGAACATGGCCATACAGCCTGGAAAACTCACAGCAACCCAGTGCTGGAACATGGCCATTCAGCCTGGAAAACTCACAGAAACCCAGTGCTGAAACATGGCTATACAGCCCAGAAAACTCACAGCAACCCAATGCTGGACATGACCATACAGCTTGGAAAACACACAGGAACCCGATGCTTGAACATAGTCGTACAGCTCAGAAAACTCACAGCAACTCAGTTCTGGAACATGGCCTTACAGACTGGAATAGTCACAGCAACCCAGTGTTGGAACATGACTATACAGACTGGAAAACTCACAGCAACCAGTGCTGGAACAGGGCTATACAGCCTGGAAAACTCACAGCAAACTAACTCTCCATCATTAATCACTTTTGCCGTCTTGAACCCTACTCCGGCATGATGTGGCCCAATGTATCCCAGTCTCTGCCTGCAATATATTGCAAAGCAAGACTTTGGAGGAGAGAGAAACCTCTCCGCCGGGCCAGACAGACGGTAGCGCATATTTGGAGCCCAAAACCACAGGGCGGGTTTCTCCTTCCCTTACCCGCCTCGCATTCTTTCTCCCTTCTTCACCCCCAAACAGCTGTTTCGAAAAAGGATGCGAAGAATCCCAGCCCGGTTCCAAGGAAAAGATATGCGGTCCCAAGGAAGGCTTGTCATAAAAGTTGTTTTTGTTTCTCTCTCTCTCTCTTTTTCATTAAAGAAGCATCATAAAAACCCAGGAACCATCGCCATCTGCGATAGTGCAATGGGGTCTTCTGGATGTGCGTGCGCTTGAGTTTTCAACACCTTGGGCGCAGACAGATTTCCAATTAGTTAACAACCGTCACCGAAAGGCCCCTTTTCAACTAGAATTAGAGAATCACAGAATCATAGAGTTGGAAGAGACCACATGGGCCAACTAGTCCCAACTCCCCGCCATGCAGGAAAAGCACAATCAAAGCACCCCGACAGATGGCCATCCAGCCATCATCATCATCATCATCATCATCATCATCGAGTTGGAAGAGACCACATGGGCCATCTAGTTCAACTCCCCGCCGTGCAGGAAAAGCACAATCAAAGCACCCCTGACAGATGGCCATCCAGCCATCATCATCATCATCATAGAGTTGGAAGAGACTACATGGGCCATCTAGTCCCAATTCACTGCCATGCAGGAAAATCACAAACAAAGCATCCCCGACAGATGGTCATCTAGCCATCATCATCATCATCATCATCATAGAGTTGGAAGAGACCACATGGGCTATCTAGTCCAACTCGCCACCATGCAGGAAAATCACAAACAAAGCATCCCCGACAGATGGTCATCTAGCCATCATCATCATCATCATCATCATAATCATCATCATCATAGAGTTGGAAGAGACCACATGGGCCATCTAGTCCAACCCTCTGCCATGCAGGAAAAGCAGCTCCCCATCATGTAGGAAGAGCACAATCAAAGCATCCCCAACAGATAGCCATCCAGCCATCATCAGCTGCAGCATTATAGAGTTGAAAGAGACCACATGGGCCATCTAGTCCCACTCCCTACCATGCAGGTAAAGCACAATCAAAGCACCCCCAACAGTTGGCCATCCAGCCATCATCATCATCGAGTCGGAAGAGACCACATGGGCCATCTAGTCCAGCTCCCTGTCATGTAGGAAGAGTACAATCAAAGCACCTCTGACAAATAGCCATTCAACCATCACCAGCAGCAGCAGCATCATAGAGTTGGAAGAGACTACATGGGCCATCTAGTCCAACTCCCATGCAGGAAAAGCACAATCAAAGCACTCCCAACAAATGGTCATCCAGCTATCATCATCATCATCATCATCACATCATCATAGAGTTGGAAGAGACCACATGGGCTATCTAGTCCAATTCGCCACCATGCAGGAAAAGCACAATCAAAGAACTCCTGACCGATGGCCATCCAGTCATAATAATAATATTGGGGGTCACCACATCATGAGGAACTGTATCAAGTGGTCGCAGCATTAGGAAGGCTGAGAAACACTGCTTTATGTGACTTATTTTCCAATATAACATGTCTCCATCTCTCAGACATCTCATCTCTGAGCCAAACATCTTCTGAACCAATGTTTCTCAAATGCTGGTCTTCCAAGTACTTTGGACCCGGCTCCAGAATATCCAAGAAGCTGGGTCTTCTGGACATTGAAATCCAAAACAGTTGGGAATCAGTGGTGTAAACTTACCAACAGTTTGGCCCAGTTCATCCTCTGCCATCCCACTTTTCCAGCAGCTTTGAAAATGTCCCGGTTTCTCTCCTTCCCTCCCACCTTATCCTTTTTTTCCTTCCTTCAATTCTGAGGTACTTTGCATTGAATTAATTCTTCAGGGAGAACCCTTCCCAGTTAGACAACCGGCTTCCCAGTTTGGCCCTGTCCACACTGCCATACAAAATCCAGATTATCTGCTTTGAACTGGTTTATATGGCAGTGTAGAATCCTATAAAGCAGATAATGTGGATACTCTGGATTCGATGGCAGTGTAGAAAGGGCCTTGGATAACCTTTGGGTGCATCGGCAATGTGCAATTCACAATTCTTTCTTTCCAAGGTGCAGCAACATGTCTGTTAAGTCTTGCTTTTGCTTTAGCGATGAGACTCAAGAGAGAAGGGTTAACGTTGTGTAGGATTTGGGCAAGAGGGATGTCTGACATGTTGTAGTGTGGACGTCATGTGTGTTATGTGTACTGTGTGGATTTATTACTGCACCAGATCTGGCCCTCTTTGCAAAAAGTTTGGAGACCCTTATTTAGGGGGTTATGAATGAGCCCCTTGTCTGGATGGACTTTGCGATGCCTCCATCCATCCCAGCTGTCCTCCCAATCAGCTGTGCTCGGTCCCAGTTGCGCCGTCCCACCTGTCACGTTGGGCGCTGAAGCCTTCAGGCCCCACAAATGTCCCTTTGGACCAGTTGTTCTCCTCTTTAGCAGGAGACTCGGCACTCTCTCTGGGTCAGTCCCTCTCCTCTGTCTCCCCAGCTGCATCTTTTCCAAGCGAGCCTCCTTCTCCTCCTTCTCCTCCTTTCCAATGGGCTCTTTGGTTGCCAAGCTTCTCCTGCCAACTTTGAGCAGCCTGGCTTTCCTCCCGACCATCAGCATCGCCGCCAAGAGGCAATTCCACATGGAAGCCATGGTCTATTTCTTCACCATGTTCTTCGTTGCGGTAAGCATCGTCTCCCTCGGCTTTCCTTCCCCCCCAAGACCCTTTCTTTCCCCAATTGGCTTCATACAGTGAGATGTCTTTGAGTAGATATTCACTTTGCATACCAAAACCCTGCTCTTTTTCATGACCTTGGTCTAAGGACAATAACAACAACAACAACAACAACAACAACAACACAGCACACATGCACATGGGGTCCAAGTGTCTGGGGTTCGTCTCTGAATATCAGGCTCTTCCCATGGGCCTAGAATATTATTATATTATTGTTATTGTTATTATTATTATATTGTATTATTATTACATGTACGTAATAACACAGCACACATGCACATGAGGTCCAAGTGTCTGGGGTTCGTCTCTGAATATCGGGCTCTTCCCAAGGGCCTAAGACATTATTGTTATTATGACTATTATCATAATTATATTGTATTATTATTACTATTATATTGTATGATTATTACATGCATGTAATAACACAGCAGACATGCACATGAGGTCCAAGTGTCTGGGGTTCGTCTCTGAATATCAGGCTCTTTCCAAGGGCCTAGGACATTATTATTATTATTATTATTATTATTATTATTATTATTATTATTACTATTATTATTACTATTACCATAATTATATTGTATTATTACTATCATATTGTATGATTATTACATGTACATAATAACACAGCACACATGCACATGAAGTGTCTGGGGTTCGTCAGGCTCTTCCCGAGAGCCTAGGACATTATTATCATTCAGTTCTTGTGGGTTTTTTGGGGTATATGGCCATGTTCTAGAGGCATTTCTCCTGACGTTTCGCCTGCATCTATGGCAAGCATCCTCAGAGGTGAGGTCTGCTGGGACTGGGAAAAAAGGGGTTTATATATCTGTGGAATGACCAGGGTGAGACAAAGGGCTTTTTATTATTATTATTATTATTATTATTATTATTATTATTATTATTATTATTATTATTATTTTATCATAATTATATTGTTTATTATTACTATTATATTGTATGATTATTACATGTACATAACATTACAGCACACATGCACATGAGGTCCAAGTGTCTGGGGTTCGTGTCTGAATATCAGGCTCTTCCCACGGGCCTAGGACATTATTATTATTAATACTATTATTATGACTATTATATTGCATTATTTTTACTATTATCATATTGTATTACTATTACATGTACATAACATTACAGCATATGTGCACATGAGGTCCAAGTGTCTGGGGTTTGTCTCTGAATATCAGGCTCTTCCCAAGGGCCTAGGATATTATTATTATTATTATTATTATTATTATTATTATTATCATAATTATATTGTATTATTATATCATATTGTATGATTATTACATGTACATAACATCACAGCACACATGCACATGAGGTCCAAGTGTCTGGGGTTTGTCTCTGAATATCAGGCTCTTCCCAAGGGCCTAGGAAATTATTATTATTATTATTATTATTATTATTATTATTATTATTATTACCTAAAGCTTCAGCGAACTTCTGTTCAACCATTTCAAAGCTCCCTGCTTGGGTGGTGATGGCACGATCATCAACATAGATGAAACTCTCTGTCCCTTCTGGCAGTGGCTGATCATTTCTGTACATATTGAACATTGATGGAGCAAGTTTCACAGAGCTTCCGTTCAACCTTTTCAAAGCTCCCTACTTGGGTGGTGATGACATGATCATCAGCATAGATGAAACTCTCTGTCCCTTCTAGCAGTGGCTGATAATGTCTGTACATATTGAACATTGATGGAGCAAGCTTCAGAGAGGCAGTAAAAGCACCTAAAGCTTTGGAGCGCTTGTGTTCAACCATTTCAAGGCTCCCTACTTGGGCAGTGATGGTATGATTGTCAGCATAGATTAAACTCTCTGTCCCTTCCGGCAGTGACTGATCATTTCTGTACATATTGAACATTGATGGAGCAAGCTTTGGAGAGCTTGTGTTCAACCCTTCCAAAGCTCCCTGCTTGAGTGGTGATGGCACGATCGTCAGCATAGATGAAACTCTCTGTCCCTTCTGGCAGTGGATGATCATTTCTGTACATATTGAACATTGATGGAGCAAGCTTCGGAAAGGCAGTAAGAGCACCTAAAGCTTTGGAGAGCTTGTGTTCAACCATTTCAAAGCTCCCTGTTTGAGTGGTGATGGCATGATCATCAGCATAGATGAAACTCTCGAACCCTTCTGGCAGTGGCTGAGAATGTCTGTACATATTGAACATTTATGTAGAAAGCTTCGGAAAGGCAGTAAGAGCACCTAAAGTTTTGGAGAGCTTGTGTTCAACCATTTCAAAGCTCCCTACTTGGGCAGTGATGGCACGATCATCAGCATAGATGAAACTCTTTATCCATTCTGGGAATGGCTGATCATTTGTGTACATATTGAACATTGATGGAGCAAGCTTCAGGGAGGCAGTAAGAGCACCCAAAGCTTTGGAGAGCTTCTGGCAATGATGGCACGATTGTCATCATAGATGAAATTCTCTGTCCCTTCTGGTTCAAACTCCCTCTCTCTTTCACATCAGTCACATTTCTGTATGCAATCCTGGCAATTTTTTCCTGGCCAGATAAATCTGGCAAGATCCTTTCTCCATTTGAAGTCGATAGGAACTTTAGAAGTGTCTGCCCCAGGAGGAGAGACCCTGCAGCCCCACCAAAGAGGGATCGCTACATTGGTGAGCAAAGAGAAGCCTAATTTTAAGCAATTTATTTTCCCTAAGTTCCCAAAAAGAATCTCACCAAAGTTGAAGAAAGTGTCACTGAGGTTTATTAGCGATTCAGCTGAAAAGGATGCAAAGCGGCCATCATTCACCAAGCTAAGCATGAAGTTACACAAATAAATGCCATTTTGTCAGGTTTTACAATGTATTGTAATGTAATATAGCTGAGTCATGCACTGCTAATGGGCTTCTATTGGAAATGCTGAGTCATGCATTAACTGTATATAGGGAATCATTTGGGGAATGTGTTCTGGCCTAGTCCTGGTGATTGTGAATGATGTAATCCTGGGTCTGTTGAGTCAATGAGTTGGGAACCAATTGGTGATTGCTATGTGTAAATGAATTGTATATAAGGAAGTTATGCACAGTGTGTATTTCTCCTTGTGCTGTGATGTTGTTCGTCAAAGGCTATATGTAATTAAAAGAACCTGTCTGCTAAGACAAGATATAACTGGGTGCTGTGGTAAGTCTGTAATATCATCTAGACTGGAGGAAAGACAATGGTAAAACTGACAATGGCCGGGCATGTGCTCAAGTGTCTGTAAAAGGTTCCAGCGTGGCTGCAGGCTGTGGGAGCGGTTGACTGAAAATACTGTGCAGGAAGAAGCTACTGGAAAGTGCTGAAGTTGTGCAACTGATCTGCTGCTGAATTGTGAAGTTAATCTCAACACATTTTTATAGGAAATACAGCGTTGTGTGGTTCAGAATTCCCACTCCCCGTCCCCCGCCCAGCTCGACGGTGATTGGCTGACGCGCTAACAGCTGGGAGGAGGCTTGGCCATCCTTCGTGCGCCTGGGCCAATCACAGGGCTTCCACGGTGCGCCTGAGCCAGTCAGGAGGCTCCTGCCACCTCGGCGCTCCAGCAAATCAGAAGGGAGGGAGGCGGGACAAAGGGATACAATGCACTCTTGAGTGGATTATGGAGTTTAATGTCCAGGAGGCTTAACGAGTCCAGAACTGGCCTGCCAGCAAAGCTAATCTTATTGTTTTGTGATGGGTCTGAGGTAAGCATTGATCACTTAATCAGAGTTTTCCTCTTGCGATCAGATAGGGCACAAAGGGGGGGGGGACTTTGGTGAATGTCTTTTGTGACATGGAGGACCATCAGGAGCCCAGGTGTGTCTCAGATGGAAAAAGTCAAATACTTTTGTGGCGTGATTTTCAGTAATAAATTGGTTACTTTCTGCTGTAAACATATGAAAATAGGGCATAAAGCCTTGATTAAATGATACACACCAAATTGACCAAGGCTTAACCCTTAGTATCCAGTCTGGTGTCCTTGCCCTTAGCAAAACTATAAGTTACTATCTCTAATCAGGGGGTGGGTGTCATGTTCAACTTCACATTGATCAAATATGTTTCAGATGGAGACAAAGTAGGTTGGTTGGTGGGTGATTTCCGCGAGATTGGAACTCGAGTCAGGGATTTCGTCTTTCACCGCTGGCCGGGTTTGCCTGGAGGAAATGTGTGGCCGCGTCCAGCTGGGCCTCCAGGTGCATATAAAAACTAATAGAATTAAGGATGGGGAGCCAAAGAGGGGGATGCAGCTGTGCCGGGGCCTCGCAGCCAGGTTTTTCGGCTCCGGCTTCCAGCCTTCCTCCTCCTCCTTGTCCTCCTCCTCCTCCTCCTCGTCCCTTTCTCCCCAACAGGAAATTCTTCAGACCAGCGAAAGCACGTGGAAGCCCAGACAAGGGCTCCCGCAACAGCCAGAAACATCTGTGCGCATCGTCTGACTCCCGGCTTTGCATTCCCAACTTATTTTGTCCCCGGCAATCCGCACTTTCCTTCTTTAATACCAAGATTTTGCCCTAATAATAATAATAATAATAATAATAATAATAATAATAATAATCAATTAGACCAACAAAAAGGCCAAAAGGGAACCTAGGATAGCAAACTCTGGCAGTTTGCTTTTGTCAGAGCCTACTGAGGTCCGGCAACACACTGTCAAGTTAATGCAGTTTGACCTCGCTTGACCTGCCGTGGCTCAGGATTACGTGGTCCTGGAAGTTGTAGTTGGACTATGGGTGTCTCTAGATTGTAGAGCGAGTGCAATTTGCTCCACTTTAACTCTAATGGCTCAAGAATATAGAATCTTGGGAGTTGTAGTTTGACTGTGAGTCCGTCTGAGGAGTTGTAGTTTGATTATGGGCGTATCTTGGGAATTGTAGCTGGACTATAAGCGTATCCTGTGAGTTGTAGTTTGACTGTGGGTACCGCCTGCGAGTTGTAGTTTGACCATGAGTGCATCCTGGGAGTTGTAATTGGACTATGGGTGCATCTCAGGAGTTGTAGTTTGACTATGGGTGCATCCTGGGAATTGTAGTTGTACTATGGGCGCATCTTTGGAGTTGTAGTTTAACTATGGGTGCATCCTGGAAGTTGTAGTTGAATTACGGGCACATTCTGGGAGTTGTAGTTGAACTCTGGGTGCATCCTGGGAATTGTAGTTGGACTATGGGCACATCCTGTGAGTTGTAGTTTGACTGTGGGTACCTCCTGCGAGTTGTAGTTTGACTATGAGTGTATCCTGGGAGTTGTAGTTGGACTATAAGTGCATCCTGTTAGTTGTACTTGGACTATGAGTGCATCCTAGGAGTTGTAGTGGGACTATGGATGCATCCTGGGAATTGTAGTTTGACTTTGGGTGCACCCTGGGAGTTGTAGTTGAACTATAGGCACACCCTGGGAGTTGTAGTTTGACTATGGGCGCATCCTGGACATTAAAGTTGGATTATGGGCACACCCTGGGAATTGCAATTGAACTCTGCGTGCATCCTGGGAGTTGTAGTTTGACTATGGGCACACCCTGGCAATTGCAGTTTGACTATGGGTACATCCTGGGAACTGCAGTTGGACTATTGGCGCATCTCCACTGTAGAACGAATGCAGTTTGAACTGCCATGTCTCAAAGATGTCGAGCCCTGTGAGTTGTAGTTTGACTATGGGTGCATCTAAACTGTAGAAGGAATACAATTTGCCCCACTTGAACTTCAACGACTCAAAGCTATGGAGTCCTGGGAGATGTTGTTCGACTATGGGTGCAGAACAAATGCAGTTTGAACGGGTATGGCTGAAGGCTGGGGAATCCTGGGAGATGTAGTTTGACTATGGACCTTTGACTAAGCATTTTTTTCCCCCTGCGACAGATTTACCATGCGTGCGAAGGACCTGGTTTAGCCATTCTCTGTTTCATGCAATACGACCTCCTGGAATATTTCAGCATCTTTGGGACTGCGCTATCAATGTGGGTGTCGCTGATAGGTAAGTTCAATGAGATGGGGATAATAATAATAATAATAATAATAATAATAATAATAATAATAATGGTGGTGACAATTATGGATTTGGCACGCGTCCCGTCGGCTTTCCATCGCCGATTTAGTCACCAAAACAAAACATTTGATCCCAGAGTTGCAATGGCTGTCTGGGACGTGAAGGAAACCATGTCGGTCTCAAAAGGTTGGTGCGCCGAATATTATGGGCTGTTTTCCAAGGACCGCGAATCCAGCTGCGCAGCTGCGAGAGCATTCAGGCGCCCAAAGGGAGCCATAACTTTTCGCGGCAATGACCCTATGCGCCACTCAATGACAGCTTCCAATAATTCATCGCCCCATTGACGAAGTGTGAATCAGGTGCCGAGCTCGGAGAAAGCAGCCTCGGCACAATTACAGAGTTGTAGTTTGGCGAAGCCCCAGCTTTCTCAAGACCTTGCCAAACTACAACTCCCAAGGTTCCATGACACGCAGCCAAGGCCGTTTGAGAACATCAAGAGGTATGAAGGTTCCACCTAAACATTCCTGATGGTAAGAGCGGTTTCACAGTTGGATGTGCTGCATCAACGTCTCCATCCTTGGAGGTTTTGAATCAGAGGATGAATGGCCATCTGTCAGGAGGGATCGGATTGTGTCTTCCTCCACAGAGGAAGAGGGTTCGACTGGATGACCCTTGGGGTCTGATCCAACTCTAGGATTCTGTAATTCTATGGCTGTTTGTTGGGAATGACTCCCATAACTGCCTTTCTTGGAAGTGCTTGAATCAGAGGCTGAATGGCCATCTGTTGGGAGGGATCGGATTGTGCCTTCCTGCACAGAGGAAGAGGGTTTGACTGGATGACTCTTGGGGTCCCATCCAACTCTAGGATTCTTTGATTCTATTACTCCCATAACTGTCTTTTTTGGGAGTACTTGAATCAGAGGCTGAATGGCCATCTATCGGGAGGGATCAGATTGTGCCTTCCTGCACAGAGGAAGAGGGTTAGACTGGATGACCCTTGGGGTCTGATCCAACTCTAGGATTCTGTGATTCTATGGCTGTTTGTTGGGAATGACTCCCGTGACTGCTTTTCTTGGAAGTGCTTGAATCAGAGGCTGAATGGCCATCTGTCGGGAGGGATCGGATTGTGTCTTCCTCCACAGAGGAAGAGGGTTCAACTGGATGACCCTTTGAGATCCCATCCAACTCTAGGATTCTATGAACTTTCAAGATGAAGCCATTCGAGGTACAATAGGTGGTGATGGAGCCTCCATCTTTGGAGGCTTTCAAACAGAGGCTGGATGGCCATCTATCCGAAGGGCTTTGACTGTCTTCCGTTATGGAAGAATAAGGTTGGACTGGATGACCTTTAGGGTCCCTTCCACCTCTAGGATTCTATGAACTTTCAAGATGAAGTCATTCAAGATACAATGGGTGGTGATGGAGCCTCCATCTTTGGAGGCTTTCAAAGAGAGGCTGGATGACCATCTATCAGAAGGAGTTGACTGTGTCTTCCTTTCTGGCAGAATAAGGTTGGACTGGATGACCTTTAGGGTCCCTTCCAACTCTAGGATTCTATGAACTTCCAAGATGAAGCCATTCGAGGTACAATGGTTGGTGATGGAGCCTCCATCATTGGAGGCTTCCAAACAGAGGCTGGATGACCATCTATCAGAAGAAGTTGACTGTGTCTTCCTTTCTGGCAGAATAAGGTTGAACTGGATGACCTTTAGGGTCCCTTCCAACACTAGGATTCTATGAACTTTCAAGATGAAGCCATTTGAGGTACAATGGATGGTGATGGAGCCTCCATCTTTGGAGGCTTTCAAACAGAGGTTAGATGACCATCTATCAGAAGGAGTTGACGGTGTCTTCCTTTCTGGCAGAATAAGGTTGGACTGGATGACCTTTAGGGTCCCTTCCAACTCTAGGGTTCTATGAACTTTCAAGATAAAGCCATTTGAGGTACAATGGGTGGTGATGGAACCTCCATCTTTGGAGGCTTTCAAACAACCCTGATGGCTGTCTTGAATCATGTCTTCATGTATGTTGGAAGGAGGCTGGACTGGATGACCTTTGGGGTCCCATCCGATTTTACGATTCTGTGATATTCTTCTTTGCTTTACTCTTCAGCCCTGGCGGAGTTTGACGAGCCAAAGAGATCCACCTTGGTGATGTTTGGCGTGCTCACCATCGCCGTCCGGATCTACCACGACCGGTGGGGATACGGCGTCTATTCTGGACCCATCGGCACCGCCGTCCTCATGATCACCGTCAAATGGGTATTTACGTTCCCCAAAAGGCCTATAATTTGTTTGTTTGTTTATTTGTTTGTTTGTGAATGCAATGCCTTGTCCGCTCTTGTCTCTGTCCAGTTGCAAAAGATGAAGGAGAAGAAAGGACTCTATCCAGAGAAAAGCGTCTACACTCAACAGATCGGCCCCGGCTTCTGTTTTGGAGCACTTGCTTTGATGCTGAGGTTCTTTTTTGAGGTATGTTTGGCTCTGAAATATATAGATATAGGGTGCATCTACACTGTGGAATTGGAATAACAGAGTTGGAAGAGACCCCTTGGACCATCTAGTCCAACCCCCCGCCATGCAGGAAAAGCACAATCAAAGCACCCCTGATAGATGGCCATCCAGCCATAATAATTATTATTATAATTATTATGATGTTAATAGAGGTGGAAGGGACCATATGGGCTACCTAATCCAACCGCTTGCCATGCAGGAAAAGCACCATCAAAGCACCCCTGACAGATGGCCATACAGCTATAATGATTATTATTATTATTATTATTATTATTATTATTATTATTATTATTATTAATGTTAACAGAGTTGGAAGAGACCCCATGGACCATCTAGTCCAACCCCCTGGCATGCAGGAAAAGCACAATTAAAGCACCCCTGACAGATGGCCATCCAGCCATAACAACAACAACAACAACAACAACAACAGAGTTGGAAGAGACCCCATGGACCATCTAGTCCAACTCCCCGCCATGCAGGAAAAGCACAATCAAAGCACCCCTGATAGATGGCCATCCAGCCATAATAGTAATTATAACGATAATGATGTTAATAGGGGTGGAAGGGACCACATGCTTGCCATGCAGGAAAAGCACCATCAAAGCACTCCTGACAGATGGACATCCAGCCATAATAATAATGATAATGATAATAATGTTAATAGAGGTGGAAAGGATCACATGGGCCATCTAGTCCAACCCCCTGACATGCAGGAAAAGCGCCATCAGAGCACCCCTGACAGCCATCCAGCCATAATAGTAATTATAATGATAATGATGTTAATAGAGTTGGAAGAGACCCCGTGGACCATCTAGTCCAACCCCCTGCCATGCAGGAAAAGCACCATCAAAGCACCTCTGACAGATGGCCATCCAGCCATAGTAATAATGATAATGATGTTAATAGAGGTGGAAGGGACCACATGGGCCATCTAGTCCAACCGCTTGCCATGCAGGAAAAGCACCATCAGAGCACCCCTGACAAATGGCCATCCAGACATCATCATCATCATCACACAGTCCTAGACGCTTGGGACATGTTTGAGTTGTGATTTTGTGATACGAAATCCAGCATATATATCTCGTTTGCTGTGACATACTGTGTTTTTGTGTCAGTAAAATAATAATAATAATAATAATAATAATAATAATAATACCGATAATAATGTTAATAGAGTTGGAAGAAACCCCATGGACTATATCGTCCAACCCTGCCATGCAGGAAAAGCAAAATCAAAGTACCCCCGACAGATGGCCATCTAGCCTCTGTTTAAATGCTTCCAAGGAAGGAGCTTGCACCAGACTGAGGCAGAGAGTTCCACCACTGAACAGCTCTTACACTCAGGAAGTTCTTCCTAATGTTCAGGTGGAATCTCCTTTCCTTTGAACCCAACTCAATTCATGAATAAGCTGGTGATGGGACGAACTATTTTTTTCCCCCCACAAAAAATAATAAAATAACATGCACATCATTCACAAGTGATAAGTCAAAAGGAGAAGACGTCCCACGTTCAGAGCAAAGGGAGGGTTTGGGAAATCTTCAGATTCCTGGGCGAAGAGATGCTACCATTTTAGGTAAGCGGCCCTGAGCTCCCAATCCTAGCTCGGCAGTGTTTTGCAACTGAGTCACTCTCTGCAAGCTCCCCACTCCCTGCCCCACAGTTATGTCCCATTTGTCAAGGGTTGGCATGCTTTCCAGGATCTGATGGCAGCGCTTTGGGGCAGCTGGTAGGGGAGGTGGCAAGCAAGGGAAGCCTTTGCAGGGCTGTCAACGAATAGCGTCGAGGTTTGTCGAGTTTGTGGAGAGTTTGGAGTTTGGCCCAATTCTATCATTGGTGGGGTTGTAGGTGAACTATAAATCCCAGCAACTACAACTCCCAAATGTCTATTTTCCCCCAAACTCCACCAATGTTCACATTTGGGCATATTGCATATTTGTACCAAGTTTGGTCCAGAGCCATCATTGTTTGAGCCCACAGTGCTCTCTGGATGTTGGTGAACTACAACTCTAAAACTCAAGGTTAATGCTCACCAAACTCTTCCAGCATTTTCTGTTGGTCATTGAAGTTCTGCGTGCCAAGTTATGTTCAATTCTATCGTTGGTGGGATTCAGAATGCTCTTTGATTGTAGGTGAACTATAAATCCCAGCAAGTACAACTCCCAAATGTCTATTTTCCCCCAAATTCCACCCGTGTTTACATTTGGACATATGGAGCAGTTGTACCAAGTTTGGTCTAGAGCCATCATTGCTTGAGGTCACAGTGCTCTCTGGATGTAGGTGAACTGCAACTCCCAAAACTCAAGGTCAATGCCCACCAAACCCTTCCAGTATTTTCTGTTGGTTGTGGGAGCTCTGTGTACCAAGTTTGGTTCAATTCTAGGTGAACTACAACTCCCAAAATTCAAGGTCAATGCCCACTGAACCCTTCCAGTATTTTCTGTTGGTTGTGGGAGTTCTGTGTGCCAAGTTTGGTTCAATTCCATCTCTGGTGGAGTTCAGAATGCTCTTTGATTGTAGGTGAAATATAAATCCCAGCAACTCCCAAATGTCAAGGTCTATTTTCCCCAAACTCCACCAATATTTACATTTGGGCATATGGAGTATTTGTACCAAGTTTGATCCAGAGCCATCATTGTTGAAATCCACAGTGCTCTCTGGTTGTAGGTGAACTACATCTCTCAAAACTCAAGATCAATGCCCACCAAACCCTTCCAGTATTTTGTTTGTTGTGGGAGTTCTGTGTACCAAGTTTGGTCCAATTCCATCATTGGTGGAGTCCAGAATGCTCTTTGATTGTAGGTGAACTATAAATCCCAGCAACTACATCTCCCAAATGACAAAATAAATCCCCCCTCCAACCCCACCAGTATTCAAATTTGGGTGTATCGGGTATTTGTGCCAAATTTGGTCTTGCGAATGAAAATACATCCTGCATATCAGATATTTACATGACAATTCAGTAGCAAAGTGAAAGTTATGGAAGTAGCAATGAAAATAATGTTATGGTTGGGGATCACCACAACATGAGGAACCATATTAAGGGGTCACGGCACTAGGAAGGTTGAGAAACACTGGTTTAGTTGGAAACAAAGTAGGTTGCTTGGTTAGGGTGTGTTCAGCGAGATTGGAACTCGAGGCTGGAAGGTTGGAGCATGGCTTTAGGTGACTGTTATTGATTTCGAGCAAGAATTTAGGTGGTCATTGCCAGGAAGCAGAGACCAATCAGACTCATCCAAGAGAGTTTGTTCCCTGGTGAGACAGAGAAACAGGACTGTCAAATTCACCATGGGGTGCCTTCCTGGGCGGCCATGCTCCGAGGCCCAAGACGCACCTTTGTTATTATCATGCAATAAGTCTTTGTTGGAATCCTTAAGTCAATGGGGAATTCATCTCAGGAAATAGGAAGGAATTTCCCAAGGGTTTGTCATGCTGGGGTCACGAAAAGGTGGCTTCCCTTATTATTTTTATACACAGATACATACATGGGGTTCATAAGGTATACATGGGGAAAAGGGGAAAGGAATTCATATTGACTCGTCCCACCCACCAGAGTTCATAAAGCAGTGGTTCTCAACCTTCCTAATGCCACGACCCCCTAATACGCTTCCTCATGTTAGGGTGACCCCCAACCATAAAATTAGTTTCATTGCTACTTCATAACGGTCATTTTGCTGCTCTTATGAATAGAAATGTAAACATCTGATATGCAGGATGTATTTTCATACACTGGACCAAATTTGGCACAAATACCCAATACACCCACATTTGAATACTGGTGTATTGGGGGAGGGTATTGATTTTGCCCTGTGGGAGTTGTAATTGCTGGGATTTATAGTTCACCTGCAATCAAAGAGCATTCTGAACTCCACCAACGATGGAAATGAATCAAACTTGGCTCACAGAACTCCCATGACTAACAGAAAATACTGGAAGGGTCTGGTGGGTATTGACCTTGAGTTTGGGGGTTGTAGTTCACCTATAACCAGAGAGCACTGTGTACTCAGACAATGATGGATCTGGACCAAACTTGTTACAAATACTCAGTATGCCCAAATATGAGTGCTAGTGGAGTTTGGGGAAAATAGACCTTGACATTTGGGAGTTGTAGTTGCTGGGATTTATAGTTCACCTACAATCAAAGAGCATTCTGAACCCTACCAACGATTGAATTGGGCCAAACTTCCCACACAGAACCTCCATGACCAACAGAAAATACTGTGTTTTCTGGTGGTCTTTGGTGACCCCTCTGACACCCCCTCGCGACTCCTCCACGGTTGAGAAGCACTGTCATAAAGGGTCTAAAATCATAGAAAGGAGTCCATGGGGTTTTGGGGAAGTAAAAATTCCGAAAAGTTCATAGAAAAGTCCATAAAGTGTGGATTACAAGGGCATTGCCATGTGGGGCCGTGGGGGCATGGAAAGAGCCTTAGGTTCCCACATGGGGGAGAGATAGGGGATTATGAGATCATTCCAACCTGGTGTCCTTGGTAAAACTACAAATTCTTTGGTTTTGAACCATCGTTTGTAAACAATCCTGGTGGGGGGGGGGGGTCACCTCCGATATCATTATGATGAAGTCCAATGCCAGCAACCAAACAAATAACCAAATGACTCTTCTCTTGCTCTAGGAGTGGGATTATACCTACGTCCACAGCTTCTACCATTGCGCCTTGGCCATGTCTTTCGTCCTTCTCCTGCCCAAGGTGAACAAGAAGGCCGGCAATGGGGGTGCCCCTGCCAAGCTGGACTGCTCCACACTTTGCTGTTGTGTGTGAAGGCGGGCAGAGGAAGATACCCATCCGCTATCAAGACTTTGGGCATTTCTTCTCCCCCCAAAATGGCATCTATAATGACCAATTTGGCAAGGCCATCTTGACTTTGGGGTTTGGGTCAGGGTTTTGCTCCCTGTTCTTCAAGGCAAGACTTGGTGGGGTGCCTTTTGTCGGTGCCAAGTGGGCACAACACACCATTTGCAGGTCAAAAAGGTTCTGGTTTGTTGCAATGCCAACCGTATGATAGGAACGGCCTTTCCCCAAATCCAGTCCATTTCCACTTATGGAAAAGAGAAGCACAGGATCGTATGTTTTGGCAAAGGGTAGATTTACATGAAGCCCAAAGGAGTGGCTCGACAACGAATCGGATAGGATACGATAGGATTATTATCATTACCCTGCTTTACATTCTTAAATGAGACCCAAATACTAAAAATAGTAGGAGGGAAAGAGTAAATACTTTTGGGACGGCAAAGGCGTAACCAGGACCATCTTCACCAATGAGAGAACATTATTATTATTATTATTATTATTATTATTATTATTATTGGTATTAATATTAGTATTATACTAGCTTGGGGACCTGGTGATGCCCAGGTTATTTGAAAAGGGCATTTGTCAGACTGGTTATTTGTCAGCTGGTTCAGTGCTTTCTGGAGAAGGGTGAACTACAACTCCCATACCAAGACAATCATCCCCCAACCCACATCTGTATGTACAGTTGGCTATGTTAGGTCTGTGTGCCACGTTTGGTCCAGATCTGACGTTGGCTGGGTTCAGGGCTCTCTGGATAAGGGTAAACTACAACTTCCATATGTCAAGGACAGTCACTACCAAACCAGGCCTGTATGTACAGTTGGCCATGTTAGGTCTGGGTGCCAAGTTTGGTCCGGATCTCACGTCGGCTGGGTTCAGAGCTCTCTGGATTAGGTGAACTACAACTCCCAGATTCAAGATATTGATATTAGTATTAGTATTATATCACTACCAAATCCCATCTGTTTACACAGATAGCCATGTTGGGTCTGTGTGCCAAGTTTGGTCCAGATCTGACGTTGGCTGGGTTCAGGGCTCTCTGAATAAGGGTGAACTACAAATCCCATATGCTAAGGACAATCACCCCCAAACCAGGCCTCTATGTACAGTTGGCCATGTTAGGTCTGTGTGCCAAGTTTGGTCCAGATCTGACGTTGGCTGGGTTCAGAGCTCTCTGGATTAGGGCGAACTACAACTCCCAGATCCAAGGTCAATCACCACCAAATCCCGTCTGTTTACACAGATAGCCATGTTAGGTCTGTGTGCCAAATTTGATCCAGATCCAACGTTGGCCGGGTTCAAGGGTCTCTGGTTAAGGGTGAACTACAAATCCCATATTCCAAGGACAATCACCCCCAAACCAGACCTGTATGCACAGTTGGCCATGTTGGGTCTGCGTGCCAAATTTGGTCCGGATCTGACGTTGGCTGGGTTCAGAGCTCTCTGGATTAGGGCGAACTACAACTCCCAGATTCAAGGTCAATCACCATCAAATCCCTTCTGTTTACACAGATAGCCATGTTGGGTCTGAGACTACCAAATGTTTACATGGATAGCCATTTTGGGTCTGTGTGCCAAGTTTGGTCCAGATCTGACACCTTCTGGGTTTGGTGCTTTCTGGATAAGGGTGAACTACAATTCCCAAAATCAAGGTCAATTCCCACAAACCCCTGCAGTATATTCAGCTTCTCTGTACCCGCTTCATCTCCCCCGAAGGGGACTCAATGGTACCCTACATCTAACAAACCATTACCATTGAAAATGAGAACGAAAACTATTCTCCGAAATCCAAAGTCGGAGAGGTTGAGGCATCTTTCGGATGCTTCGACGTTCCCAAACTTGGCTTCAATATTCAAAACACTGTGTACAAAATGACCTTCGGGCTCTATCTATAAGGAGTTTAAGGCAATGTAAATAGGTTTCGTGTTTAGGTTTTGAGCCCCATCGCCGGGATATGCCAAATGCAGCTATTCCAAAATCTCCAAAAATCCAAAACATTTCGGAGAAGGGAGACTCAACTTCTCCGGGAGGGGAAAAGATGACAACTCGTAGTTTTTGGAATACTAATTTCCCAAATTCTGCCGTGTATACAACCGTATACGGTCGATAACAGAGCAGGGAGGGTCCGTGTTTGGCCCGTTTCGTATTCTATGCATGCCTTTTGGCCAGCAAAGATGTTTATTTACTGCCCGGATTTACGGACCCAAAGCTGCAGTAACTGCGAATGCTTCTAGAGATATTCCAGAATGATGGGTGGCAAAATGATTCGAGTGTTTACACAGCAGAGAGAAAAATCACTATTTCATGGAGGAGGGGACCGGAGTGAGTTGTGTTGACTAAATAAGGCAAAGGCAAGAAAGAGACAGATTTCAGAAGGAGTGATGCTTGGCCACATGGATCCCGGTTCGTAATCTGAGAAGGCATGTTCAGAGAGTTGTAAAAGGGTTGCAAGAGACCCCCCAAAGCTCATCCAGTCCGGCCACCTTATAATGAAGGAAGACACAATCCGATTCTTCCTGACAGATGGCCATCCAGACTCCAAGGCAATATGTTCCACTATTGAAGGCACAATTCATCAGGAGAGATGTTGCTTGGCCACATGGATCTCGAGAAGGCATGTTCAGAGAGTTGTAAAAGGGTTGCAAGAGACCCCCAAAGCTCATCCAGTCCGGCCACCAATGGAGGAAGACACAATCCGATCCTTCCTGACAGATGGCCATCCAGACTCCAAGGCAATATGTTCCACTATTGAAGGCACAATTAATCAGGAGTGATGTTGCTTGGCCACATGGATCTCGAGAAGGCATGTTCAGAGAGTCGTAAAAGAGTTGCAAGAGACCCCCAAAGACCATCCAGTCCAGCCACCTTATAATGAAGGAAGACACAATCCGATCCTTCCTAACAGATGGCCATCCAGACTCCAAGGCAATATGTTCCACTATTGAAGGCACAATTCATCAGGAGTGATGTTGCTTGGCCACATGGGTCTCGAGAAGGCATGTTTAGAGAGTCGTAGAAGGGTTGCAAGAGACCCCCAAAGCTCATCCAGTACGGCCACCTTATAATGAAGGAAGACACAATCCAATCCTTCCTGACAGATGGCTATCCAGACTCTAAGGCAACATGTTCCACTATTGAAGGCACAATTCATCATCTCCAAATTTCTATATGGAGGATTCACAGTTAATGTAGGGCAGCATTTCTCAACCTGGGAGTTGAAGGCAGGGGCAGCTAACCCATTACGCAAAGTAAGCATTCGCAGTATAGTTGGTTTCACCCTGGGGCGCTCTTGAGGTGCCCTTGGGGGAAAATAGACCTTGACATATGCGAGTTGTAGTTACTGGGATATATAGTTCACCTACAATAAATTGCATTCTGAACTCCACCAACGATGGTTCAATTCCATAGTTGGTGGAGTGCCATGTTTGGTTCAATTCCATCATTTGTGGAGTTCAGAATGCTTTTTGATTGTAGGCGAATCATAAATCCCAGCAACTACAACTCCCAAATATCAAGGCCTATTTCCCTCAAACTCCACCAGTGTTCACAGTTGGGCATATTAAGTATCCGTGTCAAATTTGGTCCATATCCATCATTATTTGAGTCCACAGTGCTCTCTGGATGTAGGTGAACTACAACTCCCAACCTCAAGGTCAATGCCCACCAAACCCTTCCAGTATTTTCTGTTGGTCATGTGAATTCTGTGTGCCACGTTTGGTTCAATTCCATCATTGGTGGAGTTCAGAATGCTCTTTGATTGTAGGTGAACTATATCGAACATATTGATCATTGTTTGAGTCCACAGTGCTCTCTGGATGTAGGTGAACTACAACTCCCAAACTCAAGGTCAATGCCCACCCAACCCTTCCTATATTTTGTGTTAGTCATGGAAGTTCTGTGTACCAAGTTTGGTTCAATTCAATCGTTGGTGGAGTTCAGAATGCTCTTTGATTGTAGGTGAACTATAAATCCCAAATGACAAAATCAATCCCCTCCCAACCGCACCAGTGCCAAATTTGGTCCAGTAGATGAAAATAAATCTACTGGATTAAATTTACATTACAAGTCATAATAGTGGCAGAATTACAATGGTGAAGTAGCAATGAAAATTATGTTATGGTTGGGGGTCAACCACAACATGAGGAACTGTATTAAGGGGTTGTGGCATTAAGAAGGTTGAGAAGCAATGGTGTAGTGATATAGTGATGGACAATGTCGTCTCGAGTCCCTTGTAACGAGTGCGAATCTCCGTCCGCCGGTTTCCCAGGATCCCCTTGGGGTGGAGGAGAGGGCCTCTGCCGTCACTGTTCGCTTTCCTGTATATCACACGCCTTCTCCCCAGATATGAACTTTTGGCAGCATCCCTTTTGTGTGTGTGTTATGTAAGAACAGCCTCATGTCGGCCTTCTTCGGCCTCCCGCTTCTGTTTACTCAGCTGTGACCTTCCTTGGTAGCCCTCCTTCCATTTTCTTGGAGCGTTTTCTCAATAAACAAAGAGCGATGGTGGAAGAAGGGAGAGCAATTAAAAAAGGAACCCAAACTGCCACTCAAAACCCTTCAGAAAATCGGCTCGGACCGGGTATGCTGGGTATATTATTTATATCCCGCTTTATCTCTCCCGAAAGAGACTCGAAGCAGCTTAACATAAAAGCATCAGCATGCAATTTAAAATATACTAATGAAATCATGGAGGAATTTAAAAGGGCCTGTCAGCTGAAAAGGATGCAAAGCAGCAATATTTCGCCAAGCTGAGCATAACATGTGTACAAATAAAAGCCTTTTTTATACAGAAACAGAGTTGCCAGGTTTGAATCTCCCATTCCCCGCCCCTCTGCCGGCTCGACGATGATTGGCTGGCGCTCCACAGCTGGGAGGAGGCTTGGCCACCTCCTGAGCGCCTGGGCTTCTGCCGCCTCGGTGTCCTAACACATCAGGAGAGAGGGAAACAATGGATTCTTGAGAGGATTATGGAAGTAGGAAATGTCCATGCGGCCAGCAAGTCCTGGGGCCTGTGAGCCAGCCATTCCTATTTAGATAGATAATCACCATCATTCTATAGCAGTGTTTCTCAACCAGGGGGTCAGGACCCCTGGGGGGGGGTCGCGAGGAGGTGTTGGAGGGGTCTCCAAAGACCATCAGGATACACAGTATTTTCTGCTGGTCATGGGAGTTCTGTGTGGGAAGTCTGGTCCAATTCTATCGTTGGTGGGGTTCAGAATGCTCTCTGATTGTAGGTGAACTATAAATCCCAGCAACTACAACTCCCAAATGCCAAGGTCTATTTTCCCCAAACTCCAACAGTGTTCACATTTGGGCATATTGAATATTCGTGCAATATTTAGTCCAGATCTATCATTGTTTGAGTCAATGGTGCTTTCTGGAGATAGGTGAACTAGAACTCCCAATCTCAATGCTCACCTAAACCTTTCATTATTATTTTTTGGTGGTCATGGGCATTCTGTGTGCCAAGTTTGGGTCAATTTCATCTCTGGTGGAGTTCAGAATACTCTTTGATTATAGGTGAACTATAAATCCCAGCAACTACAACTCCCAAGGTCCAGAGAATGAAAATACACCCTTCCTATCAGATATTTATACCACTGTTCTATCGTGTAGAGCAGTGCTTCTCAACCTTCCTGATGCCGTGACCCCTTAATACAGTTCCTCAGGTTGTGGTGACCCCCAACCACAAAATTATTTTTGTTGCTACTTCACAACTGTTATTTTGTTACTGTTACGAATTGTCATGTAAATGTAATATGCAGGATGTATTTTCATTCAATGGACCAAATTTGGCACAAATACCCAATATGCCCAAATTTGTATACTGGCAGGGTTGGGGTGAGAGGTTGATTTCGTGATTTGGAAGTTGTAGTTGCTGGGATTTATAGTTAACCTACAACCAAAGAGCATTCTGAACTCCACCAATGATGGAATTTAACCAAACTTGGCACACAGAACTTCCATGACCAACAGAAAATACTGGAAGAGTTTGGTGGGCATTGATCTTGAGTTTGGGAGTTGTAGTCCACCTATATCCTGAGAGCACTGTGGACTCAAACAATAAAGGATCTGGACCAAACTTGGCACGGATACTCAATATGCCCAAATGTGAACACTGGTGGAGTTTTGGGGAAACACACCTTGACATTTGGGAGTTGGACTGGACTGACTGAACCTGGACTGAATCTGGGACATACTGAATACTCAATATACCCAAATGTAAATAGTGATGGAATTTGGGGGAAATACACCTTGACATTTGGGAGCTGTAGTTGCTGGGATTTATAGTTCACCTTCAAACAAAGAGCACTCTGAACTCCACCAATGATGGAATTGAACCAATCTTGGCACACAGATCTCCCATGACCAACGAAAATACCGAAATATTCTGGTGGGCATTGACCTTGTGTTTTGGGAGTTGTAGTTCACCAACATCCAGAGAGCACTGTGGATTCATATGACGATGGATCTGGACCAAACTTGACACAGATACTCAGCATACCCAAATGTGAACACTGGTG